TTTGTTTTGGATTTTCTCCCTTATCCAAATACTAGTGGCCTGGTGCATGGATTCATGCACATTGAAAGGAAATTAATTAGAATAAATATTTTAATATGAATATCAACAAAAACAACCAAATTCATGATCGACAATGACAGATCAAAACACGTGTGCGATTGGCACCAGCGAGAGCTTTATATGTATGGTGCATGGATGAGTCAATGTTTATTTTTAAATTGCCAGTGTGTGTCATATATACCAGTGAGTGGGTTGGTCAGATGGTTGGACGGATGTATGGTCGGTCATTTAGCCTTTTATATAGATAGGCTTGGTCTGTCACTTGCTGGATTCTTTCCACACCACTGTTTACTTTCTTCTATAGCTGGGGCGAGCCAGTGTTAGAAGGAAGGAAGGAAGGAAGGGGATGGGTCAAATTTACTAAGAGGGCCACTCAGCAATAGCACATGGTGTGTAGGGAACTTTGGTGAGAGGCCTGCTGTTTCAAAAGGCGTATTCTAAGAGGGCATGAATCATGATTTTCAGCCTGATTTGTTTATCATTTTGGTACTGGTAGCAACACAAGAACCGACAGGTCAGTAGGGCAAGATCCTCCAGAAAATACAATATATAAAACATCATGTAGTAATGAGAATGTAGCATTGGATGTAAGTGGCGTTAAGAATTAATGGGAGAAAGGAAGAATTATTCCAAAAATGGTACTGGGGAAAGGGAATAATGATTGGCAAGAAAAAAAAAAAGATATGTACAACATCAATTAATTTTCTAAAGAGAGAAAAAGTATTTTCTCACTTTCTAAATTAGTTTTATTTATAACACCACAAAACAAGTATGAGAAAACTCAAGTAAAATGTATATTTTTCCATATGGGAAAAGAACTTTGTAAGCCTGGGAGCAGGAAGAATCACAAAGGGAAGTACTGACAGATTGGACTATGGGAACCGTTTTGAAAATGTACTCTGAAAAGTATGCTAATGTAAAGCCAGCGAATTAAGCTCTATTTGGATGATTTTGAATCTTTTTTTGCTGTGTCAAATTTGTGTCTTGATCCGGGTGGCGTGTTTGAGCCCCTCCCACTCCCCATTCATAGCACCTTGTCTGGGTTCTGAACATCCCCGATTTCTGTTATTACTGCTGTTGGCCAGTTGGTGACCCTTAAGTTGTGAGAGTCCAGTCTGAGATCATCCTGGCTGCTATATGGAAAAAGAATTTTATCACATCACATCTTTTAACTTGTGGAATGAACTCTCTTTACCACCCACTGGTTGGAAGTAGTTATTTCATTTGTCCTAAAGTACACAGTTCCATGGTGTCTGGATGTTGGGAAACAGTATCCTATATAATAAAAGGGTAATATGCAAATTGACCCTAGTGGTGGAATGACCAGAATGACTGCTCGACCAGTCTCTATGAGGTGCACTGACCACCTCTTGGTCCCTTTTCCCAGCTGGCAGGCTCTGATCTCCCAATGGTGAACAGGGAACTGGGGGTCAGTGGTGGCGGGGGGCGGGGCTGGCTGCGGGCAGTGGGGAAGATGGCCCTGATTGCAGGCCAGGCCTAGGGACCGTACCGTGCACGAATTACATTGTTATATAAATTATTATGCTCCCAGGGTCTTCCCTTGCCCGGGCTTACTTACTCTCATAAAACTCAGCTTGACCCTGGCTTTGCTTCTTACTCTGCTTGTTTGGGGTGGTCGGTAAGTATTCCTACAGGGTACAGCATGGACTGAGTCGGGGAATCACTTTGTGGCCGAGCTGTTTAGTAGATAACTAATTAAAAACAATTGACTTGATTCTGTCAAAGATAAAGCTGGATACTCAAGGGGTAATGCAGATTTGAACCAGTAATATACTATTGCAATAGGGAAGAGGGTCCAGCATGAACTGAACTCAACGGGGCATTTTAAAGGGAGAGTGAGGGAGTAGGGTGGGGGACCAGCGGGGCTTGAGTCAGGGAAGTGAAACATTCCTATCCATGTAAACGCTGATTAGGGCAGCTGTGTGGCTACACAGAGACTGAGAGACAGAGGCTCTATCCTTTCTGATAATTACATTTCAAAGGAATGGCTTTGAGGTCCTTGAGAAAGACACTCCTGAGTTGTAGGAGGTACATAATATCACCCACGCACTGAAGGAGGATTCTCACAGTATGAGCTTTTTTAGTCAATGCTCTAGGAAGGGTGGTAAAGGGCCGGCCATCAAGTGTTACCTAGAACAAAGAGTAAATTCTTCTGGCCGCTTTGAGCTCCTTAAGGGGAGCAGGCCATTCTGGGGAAGTAGCCTGGAGCTGTTAGGAACAATGTTAGTGTTTGTTTAACTCTTTAATGTGGAAGGGGTGGAGTCCATGAAATCACTCGTGCTCAGTCTGCAGATTGTGTAAGTGAAGGTTGATGACCCATTGAGATGAAGGCTTAGTTTGGTCAAGGAAAAGGGGAGATACATTATCTTCCTTCCTCATAAAAAACAAAAACAAAAAACAAAAAGTTTTGTTTGCTCCTTTTCTTCCTGTCTTGAATGTATTGTATGAGTGTGTGATGACTGGAGCTGCAGCAACTATCTTGAGACCACGAGGAAGCAAACTAAAAGGTCACTAGCCAGCTCCCTAAGAAGGGTATTGTGTGGAAAATTAGAAAAAGCGTTGATTTTTGATGACATCACTGACTCTTGGGTCCAAATCTGGGACCATCAATCCAGCCCCACCTCCTATCCTTTTCAGTAAACTTTAAATTTTAGAATAGATGTACAGTGGGGCCTTGACTTACCAGTTTAATTCGTTCTGAGACCGAGCTCGTTAAGGAGCTCGTTAACTCAAATTACTCTATCAACTCAATGCAAAAAATCGGCGGAGAGACTGCTGGTATCTCAAAAAACTCGTTAGTCGGGACACTCGTAAGTCAAGGCCCCACTGTATTGAAAAGTTGGAAATGTGGTACAGAGAATGCCGATATATCCCTCATCAAATTTCCCCAACTATTAACCATCTTACTATGATGGCTCATTTGTCACAAGTCAGAAACTAGCATTGGAACAGTAGTAACAACTGAGCTCCATGCTTTATTTGAATTTTACTAGTTCTCCCCCCCTCCCCCACCCCATGCCCTTTTTCTATTTCAGGATTCCCTACAGAATATCACATTGCATTATCTGTCTTCTCACCTTAGTTTCTGTCGGGAGCCGGGTCCATCCTTGCTGTTTCAAGGGACCTGGCATATATGGCATACTGTTCTTAATATGTTTGCTCACCTTCTTGGCGCTATGTGTTTTAACCAAGGTCACCTCTCCAAGAAAGGTTGTTTCCCCAGGTAGGGATTTTTCCCTGAAGTTAGGGAGGGGATAAAACCCCTTAACTAAGTGCCAGGCGGGTAGTTAATCACTTTAACTACAAACAATCACACTTAAGCTACATAATCTTTACTCCCTGGAATGGAGATAAGAAACGCCCTAACCTTTGGAATAGAGATTGATAGGATTGGAATCAACTGGTATAAATACAGATGTAACAAGACAACAGCACACAGAACCTAGAGACAGGACTTGGCTGGAGATCCTACACAGAACCTAGACACAGAACCTAGAAACAGAACCTAGCGAGAGAACCTGGCAGAAGAACCTAGAGACAGAACCTAGAGACAGAACCTGGATAGAACATGGCAAGAGAACCTGACTAGAACCTGGTGACTGAACCTGGCTGGAGATCCTGGCTAGAGATCCTGGCTAGGCTGCTGATCAACTGAAGGCTGTCTCCGTGTCATTCCTTCTTCGCCGACTCCGTCCACACCTTTGGGGACCCCTGGACCCACTGGGGTTGGACCCCAGCAAGTTTCCTCTGGTCTATGACAGATTCTCAGTTTACTGGTGTTTCGTGACCTCTGACACAGTTTAGGAGTACTGTTCAGGTGCTTTGGGGGTTGTCTGATGTTCTTCTCAAGGAAGAACGCGGTTATAGGATTTGGGGGAGGAAGACCACAGGGGTGAAGTGCCCTCCCTACACCCTGGCATGCTATCACCATAATTCATCACTGACTATGTTAACCCTCAGCACCTGGCCGGGCATGGCCTGCCAGGTTTCTCCACTGTACACTTACTTTTCCCTGCTCTCCATACTGCACTGTACACTTGGAAGCAAGTCACTAAGCCTAACCCACAATCCAGTGGCGATGGGGGGGGGGGGGGGGGCGGGGGGCAGAAATTGAGCTCCACCTCCGCACACGGAGGAGTATTTACTTAAAACAGTGGTTCTCAACCTGAGGGTCGCGACCCCTCTGGGGGTCAAACGACCCTTTCACAGGGGTCGCCTAAGGCCATCGGAAAACACATATATAATTACATTTTGTTTTTGTGATTAATCACTATGCTTTAATTATGTTCAATTTGTAACAATGAAAGTACATCCTGCTTATCAGATATTGACATGACGATTCATAACAGTAGCAAAATTACAGTTATGAAGTAGCAACGAAAATAATTTTATGGTTGGGGGTCACCACAACATGAGGAACTGTATTAAAGGGTCGCGGCATTAGGAAGGTTGAGAACCACTGACTTAAAAGATAGGGACTTCTGCCCTAACCGGTTTGGCTCAGTGGATAGAGCGTCGGCCTGCGGACTAAAGGGTTCCAGGTTCGATTCCGGTCAAGGGCATGTACCTTGGTTGCGGGCACATCCCCAGTAGGGGGTGTGCAGGAGGCAGCTGATCGATGTTTCTCTCTCATCAATGTTTCTAACTCTCTATCCTTCTCTCTTCCTCTGTGAAAAAATCAATAAAATATATTAAAAAAAAAAAGATATGGGACTTCCGCAAGGCTGATCCTGGGAGAGCTAGGCCAGGGAGGGTGAAGTGGGGTGGGGCGGGGCTCGCCAAGCAAAGGGGCGGGGACTTAGGGGCGGGGCGCGTCGAGTGAGTCGGGGGCGGGGCTAGCTGAGCAAAGGGGCGGGGCGCGTCGGCGGGATCGGGGTCGCGGGGAAGCTCTGGCTGCCTGGGCTCGCAGTTCCGAGGTCGCGGCGGAGGCGGAGCAAAAGGCGGGTTGGGTGCCGGCCCTGAGGGTCAGGCCTGGGACGCGTGTGTAGGGAGTCCCTCCCCTCCGCTGGTCGGGCTTCAGAGCGCGGGCTCCGCGCCGCGGGCCCCTGAGTTTCCCTGTCCGCGACTCCGGGTCGGGGGACTGACCCCGTCGGGTGCGGGCGTCCTCGGCGCTGCCGGGACACACTGCGCAGGCCCCGGCGGAAGCCCGCGGCGGGGAGGGGCTCCGCCCGGCGGCCAGGGACTGGGCTTCGGTTAGTGAGGACGCAGGGCGGCCAGCCTCGCCCTCCGCGGAGGCCCGAGTCTCGTCTTAACTCGCGCTCACCGTGCGGTGTGGGTCTCCACGTGCCCTGGGCCAGCCGCCCCGCCGCCGTCACCACGGAGACCTGCCCCGGCGCCAGGTGAGCCGGAAGCACTTCCGGGCCGGGGCCTCCGGTTGCCCGGGTAACGGGAGCAGCTCGCGCTGGAGCTTTGCTAATATTTTAGTTTTTTGATGTGAAAAGAACGGAGGTCGCATCGCGTACTCCGCTAGGCCCGGAAGTCGCTCATCTGGCGAATGTAGGTCCGCGAGGCGCAGGGCCGCGGGGTGGGCGCTGCAGGCGGGACGGGGAGCGCGTGCCGTGCCCGGGCTGGCGGCCGCCCTGGCTCCACGTGCAGAGCTCGCGCGCCCACGGGCACCCGCGCGCGGCCGGGCACTCGCCCAGGGACCCGGCTCGTCACCCTTCGGTGGGTGAAGCAGGGAGCCTTCCAGGGCCGAGGCGGGTGGTAACGGTGCCTGGTCCCCTGTCTTGTTACCCACGCCTGCCCGGTGTCGGTGGTAGATTTAAAAGCAGCTGTTGGTCAGAGTGCGCACATAAAATCCCAGCTCTCCCCGGGTACCGTCACCTCGGCATTCATGCACGTGTAAGTCACTGTAGGAGCATATAAAAGTCACAGTAAGCGCCGCCTCCCCTTGCGCATAATTGGCTATCTTTCCTTAAATTTGGTTTTATAAACATACATAATGTTTATAAATCAAACCTAAAAGGGGTCATTGATGTTTCTGTCTCGATCCCTCTCCCTTCCTCTCTGAAATCAATAAAAATATATTTTAAAGAAAAGGGGTCATTGAGTTTGAAATGTTCTGAAACTTTGTTTTTTTTCCCCTTGGACATTTTTACACCTTAGCATATATTTTTTTCCCCTGTTGGTGGCTACATAATATTCCATTGTCTGAATCCTGCTGTTTTTTAAATTCTCACCTGAGGATATTTTTATTTTAAATATTTAAATTGATTTCAGAGATGGAGAGGAATTGAGAAAAACATTGATGAGAAAGAACATAGATCAGCTGCCTCCTGCACATTCCCTACTGGGGATCAGCCTGCCATCCGGTATGTGCCCTGCCCAGGAATCAAACGGAGGTCTCCTGGGTGCATTGGTCCACGCTCAACCACTGAGCCACACCAGCTGGGCTTTCTAAAAAAATTTTTAGAGAGGAAGGGAGAGAGAAACATTGATGTGAAAGAGGAACATCTATCAGTTGCCTCCTGTAGGTGACTACTGTATAAATTTATATACACACATTTTTTTTTTTTTAAAGGAACTGTTGCCCTAACTGGTTTGGCTCAGTGGATAGAGCGCCAGCCTGCGGACTGAAAGGTCCCAGGTTCGATTCCAGTCAAGGGCATGTACCTTGGTTTCGGGCACATCCCCAGTGGGAGGTGTGCAGGAGGCAGGTGATCGATGTTTCTCTCTCATAGATGTTCCTAACTCTCTATCCCTCTCCCTTTCTCCATGTAAAAAATAAAATATATTTCAAAAAAAAAAGAAACTGTTTTAGAGGGACCAGTAAAATGTGCATTCCATTACTGCACAAGGGATCATGATTTAGCTCTCAGTATAAAAGTTCTATAACTAAAAACACTTTAGAGAAGAGGCTTACCAAATAATATGTTTGTCTATTTAAATCTTTAAAGGTACCAAGAACAGTGATTATCATTCATTGGGAGAAAAAGCAAAGGAAGTGCCTTTTATTTTCGACTGGGCACCTAAACGGAAACTGCAGTTGTAGTATGAAGAAGGGTAGAGGAAGAACAAGCCGGATCAGAAGACGGAAACTCTGCAGAAGTTCTCCATCAAGGGGAGGTACAGTGTTTACTTGTTTTGGTGCCAGTGACATAAAAAGAATCTTGTTGCTTGATATTAACAGGTGCATATAGCTTTTCTCAAGGGCACATGGGCAATGTTCACAGAGAATATTTCTTAAATAATTCTCTTTGTAATTGTGCCATTGTATTCTTTTTAACCCTGGTGGGAATATAAACATATTTCTCATTCCTTCAACTGTGTCTTTTCTGGGGATGACTCCCAGGTTTCTGTTTCTAGCCCTGCCCTCTCTCCTGTCCTCTAATTACCTGCAAGGTATCAATGTTTGGTTATAAACTCCTCATTTTGAGTTCACTGTAACCCAGTTTGAAGACAGGCTGCATGTGAAAGTGCCTGGCCACCTGGGAGGTACCACATTGATAAGGTCAATTTTACCAGTTGCTTCTCCTGCCTCTTTGAGACGATCATATGTTTTTTCTTTTTAGTTTACATTATTTTTACATTTTAAAATTCATTTATTTTTATGATAACACTGAGACAATTCATCAGAGGTTTTCTTTTTAAATGGTAGTCTGATTTTATAGTGATCTTAATCACCATTTTTTCCTCCATTGATTAGTGAATGAGAGCTACAAGCCTGAATTTATAGCGCTTAAGAAGTGGTTGAAAGCTAGGAAGTTTGAAGATACAAATTTAATACCTGCTTGTTTTCCAGGTGAGTCTGGCTTTCAGTTCTCATGACCTTTGTCACATGAGACATGGGCACAGGTGACAGGAAAGCAGGGGTGAACCTTGCTGTATTATCTTGGGGAGCGTATCTCGTATTATGTCAGGCTTCCTGCCTTGTAGCTGTAATTCTCTTTTAAAAAATATATTTTTATTGATTTCAGAGAGGAAGGGAGAAGGAGAGATAGAGAGAAACATCAGTGATAAGAAAGAATCATTGATCGACTGCCGCCTTCATGCCCCACCCTGGGGGTTGAGCCCACAACCCAGGCATGTGCCCTGACCGGGAATCAAACCCTGACCTCCTGGTTCATAGGTCGACGCCCAACCACTGAGCCATGCTGGCCAGGCTGTAGCTGTAATATTTGAGAAGGTGGATTACCATGCTTTACCTTGTTCTAGAAGTAAATGAAGTGGCTTGTGGGAAGAAATGCCGAAATGGTGAAATAAAATTCAAAATTACAAAAGGGGGATGAGAATAGAAAAATAAGGCGAAGGCAGGAATAAGGATAATTCATAAAAATTGTGATTATAAAATCTTGCGCCCTCTCAGAGGCGAGCCACCAATCTGATGTTCCTTTCCAGCAGTGTAGACAGGTTATATGGCCAGTGACCCGAGTCCTAGTGTTATTGTCCATCAGCAGAAGCGCAGACGTTCCTGGAACTTAGTCTGTAATAAGCTTTACTTTTATACGGTCCTCGTGGCCACTTCCCGCTTCGCCTTAGTAAGTGCAGCTTGCTAGGCTCTGTTTTCTGAACTTGAACACTATGTTGTAGAAATATCGGTAAAGCATCTTCCAGGTTTATCCCGTATGCCAAGTTCTGTTCATATACAGGGGTGGACGGAAGTCGGTTTACAGTTGTGAGTACTCAAAACACAGAGTTTATTCTTGTAATGCATTAATTATTGTATTACTTATTTGTATTTCAACTGTAAGCCTACTTCTGCCTACCCCTGTATCTGGTTGGAGCTACATTTCCGCTTAAATTATCATACAAGTCTAAAGGAGACCCCAGCGGAGGAGGTCAGCTGAAGGGTTCCTGAGAGACCCAGAAGCAGTTCTGTAGAAGGTGCTGGTCTTTAGGTCTTGATTCTGAAGCTCACTTTGCCCTTCGAGGATTACAAACTCAAGGGGAGGTCAGCACATTTACATTTTCCAGAGCAGCTTCTTGATCTTCCGGGATTCAGGGTACAAGACACCCGGCTTTGAAGTTCATGCACATCATCTATTCCAGTGATGGCGAACCTATGACACTCATTTTTTTGGTTGATTTTTCTTTGTTAAATGGCATTTAAATATATAAAATAAATATAAAAAGTATGTCTTTGTTTTACTATGGTTGCAAATATCAAAAAATTTCTCTATGTGACACGGCACCCGAGTTAAGTTAGGGTTTTTCAAAATGCTGACACGCCGAGCTCAAAGGTTCGCCATCACTGTTCTATTCAGAGTGTCTCTGAGGCCTGGAAGCTGCAGTAGATTCACCCTTTCCTGTCTTTGCGTTCCTAGGTACCGGGAGAGGGCTGATGAGCAAAACGTCCCTGCAGGTGAGCATCTCCCTTGGCCTTGAGACCCAGTGCAGATGTTGCTGCTTTGTTTTTGCGGGTTAAACCAAGTGGATTAAACATATGCTCGGCACACAGGCATGTTGTACTTACAGATACGTTTCAGTACAACTCTGCCAGTCGGAGTTGCTTGCCGCGTACCGGAGACAAACCCAAGGTGCAGGGCTTGCACAGAGCAGCTTATTGTGCTGTCACCTGAACACGCCTGGGCAGGCGACCTGGCTGGTGTGGCGTCCCGTGGCCGTCAGAGGCCCAGGACTAGCAGCTCTCTACCCATGTCCTTAGAGGAAGCTGCCACCTCAGGTCCAGCGTGTAGCTCCTGGGGCTGGAGCAGCGGGACCCAGCAAGGGGTGAGCAAGGGCAGCTTCTGCCGTCCAGGAAAGGGGACCCATGAACCAGCCTCCTCTCCCGCTGCCAGCGACCAGGTGCGCAGCCCCAGCGGCGGGAGGCGACACCTGTCGGCAGTGCCCTTCGGGGGGCTGGGGTGAGGAGGAGGGAGGCTGTTGGGTAGGCAGCCAGCAGTCTGCCACAGCGGAGTTTATAAACCAGATCATGTGCTAACCGTGCACGGGAGGGAGCCGCTCTCATCTGAGAGACTGCGCGTAGCAGAGGAGGTGGAACCGAGCGAGCAGGAGGAGGCCTTGGGGCCTGTCCAGGGGCCAGCCTGCTGTGGCACCGGCGGGACAAGGCTCCGGACCCCGTGGGCTGCCGTCTCCTCCCCTGGAAAACGAGGTGAATGGCATGGTGATCTGATCTCCAAGGTCCATTTATGCCATTTAAAGGACAGAATACAGTTTTCTGTAAAGCTACCAGTTAGTTCCTTAATTTATTTTTATTTAAAATTATTTTAATTTCTTAATTTAACTTATATAAACCCCAGCCTTGTACATACTAGTATGTTTAGCGTAAAGAATGGTAACTTTTAGTGTTGTAATTCTATTATGCTATTTTAATTTTTAAATAACTTTATAATTATTGTGGTAAAATATATATAAAATAAAACTTACCATCTTAACCACTTTAAGTGTGCAGCTTATTAGCATTAAGCACATGCACGTTGCTGTGTAATGTTTTTGTTTTTTGAACAGAGGTGTAATTGACCTCATTCTGTAGCAGCTTTTGCAGAGTAGACATATACCTCTCATCTATATAGCAGTGACTATAGGTTATTTTTTTAAATAGGTTTTTATTTATTTTAGAGAGAGAAGAAGGGAGAGGGAGAAAGAAACATTGATGAGAGAGAAACATGGATCGGCTGCCTCCTGCACACCCCCTACTGGGGTTTGAGCCTGCAACCTGGGCATGTGCCCCAATCAGGAATCAAACCTTGACCTCCTAGTGGTTCATAGGTTGATGCTCAACCATGGAGCCACGCCGGCTGGGCTGCACAGCTTTTAAGTGTTCAGTTTGATGAGTTTTGATGATGAAGAGATTTACCCCAAGGACCATATAGACCATTTTATCAAGTGGCTTTAAAAAAAATCCTCACCTGAGGATATGTTTTTATTGATTAGAGAGAGAGAGAGAGAGAGAGAGAGAGAGAGAGAGAGAGAGATCCACACGAGAGAGAAACATTGGTAGGTTGTCTCCCTTTACCCGCCCTGAGTGGAGATCAAACCTGAAATCTAGGTATGTACCCTGACCAGGAATCGAGCCGAAACCTTTTGTTGTACAGGACGATTCTCTAACCAACTGAGCCACCGGGTGGATTTTTTAAAAACCATAAAGTCACGGATGTCGGGGCAGGAAGAGGTGGTAGTGGTGATCTAGTCTAATCCCGATTTACAGATGAGGCAACTGGCAATGGCACCCAGCTGATTTTTGGCTGAAATTCGTAACTGAGATGCCAGTTACAACGACAGCAGGACCTTACGCCTGGCTTGTTGGCGACTTACTTGTTTCTGGGGTCCGTTACTTGCACCTTAATTTTCCTTTCTCTGTTCCCGTCTCCGTGTGAAGAGCTGTACTTCTGCACGTGCTAAGACGAGCCCCTTGTGCTGGTGGGCTGCTCTTGCTTTAGCTGGTGGACACAGGCTAAGGGAGGGTGGGCCATTTCTAGGGCAGCCGCTGGATACATGGGGTTGCACCAGATGGGTTTTTGTGTGTGAGTGTGTGGGGTTCTGTCTGTTTCCTGAAGGTAGCACAATTTCCTGGCCTAAGAAAGCGAAGGAACAATTTGATTTGAGGTGTCAGTGTTTCCACTTTCCTTTCTGGTGAAAGGTTGACAGTCACATAATTGACCTTTAATTCCTGCTGGGGTCGTAGTGCCTGCGCTGGAGCGGCCTTGCCTACCTCCGCTGACTCAGGCTTGGCAGGTAGTCGGTGTGGTCTCTGTGGTTGGGCTCTTCTGGGTTCTTAGTAGATGAAACGGAGGACTTGAAAAGATGTGCCCTCACAGGCCCTCCCAAGCACCGGCGTTCTAAACTCTGCTTTCTTTTTCGGGAAGGAGGGACAGGTGATTATTTCGTTGCCTGAGAGTTGCCTGCTCACCACGGACACAGTGATTAGGAGCTACTTAGGGGCGTACATTGCTAAGTAAGTGACCGCACACATGCTACCTGGGGCACCGCTTCTCCTTAAAGTCTGTCCATCGGCAGGTGTGTCACCTGAGGCAGAGTTCAGGAGGGCCCAGCCCCTTGCATAGCCGATACCTGCAATGGTGCAACAGGGCTACTCTGGTCTGTGAAGTTTGTTTTAATTCATGGCAAACTGGGAGGTGGGTTCGAGTCCTGATCTATCCCAGAAACTGCAGATGAAATGGGATAATGAAGGAAGTCAGGGCTGAGCGCCTTGCTCACAGTAGCTTGTTCTCCATCGTAGTGGAGCGTGACAGATGGCAATTTCTCTTTTATTTTTACCCTCATTGTACTTGCTTGAATTTTCTTTCAACTCTGAAGAGCTGTTGACATTAGGAAAGAGTTAGTCTTATTTAGCATAGGAGAGAGGGGGCCAGCCTTGAAGGGGAGAACTAATTTCCAGCTCATGTTCTCCTGGGCCTCTGTTCGGGGCCCTGTCTGAGGACAGTGCGTGAGACCTCAGCAGAAGGGTTTCTAAATTACGAGGTTTGAAAGATTGAATTGTGTCTTAACCCAGAGTAAATTCTGAA